ATCGATCACGTACTAGTTCGGATTGGGAAGATCCGATCACTGTACTAGTTGCCTTTTTCGGTGCCCCTTGCCTTATTCCGATCCTCTCTGTTTGAAAATCCAAATATTCCTCAGTTGCTGGGACTGGGAGTGGTGCATCTTCTTAGCCATTACTTCTGCAAGTCCAAGCATCGCGGCCTCTCACCCATCCTCATATTTCCATCGGTGCCCCACTTTATCCCGTCGCATTCTGGGATACGTCTTTTGCAGTATCCATCTTTTTCTTTCAATTGACCCACCTACGTGGCTCATTCTATCGGGGCCAGCACCTGGTGACCACAAGCACCTGGTGACCACAATAAAACATTCCCGAAAACTTTGCACGTTCGAAACGATGAAATGGGTTCTAAAAGAGAATTTATTGTCGTCGTACAATTTGTCCTTTCTTCTCTCTCTCCCTCATACTCCCATTTATTTCCTTTTTATTGAAATTACCCGTACAAAGGTGTCAGTGGCCTGTCGGGAATGAAACGTCTCCATAGCAGTCTACAAGGTAAGGCTCAGGCTCCTCAGGATATCCTTGGACACCTATGTAGGAAGGTTCTTTTTCTTCTTTTATTGCTCTTTAAGGGTTCAACATATGGTTTGAATTTATGAAAAAAGTTTTTTAAATTGTTTGCTATTACGGTAAGTGAAGTGAGTCAGGTCTCTTTTTTTATTTCATTTTTTCAGGTGATTTACTACTCGATCCGGTCACTATAAATCAAGTCATCAACCTTGGAAATCATGCCGAGAGTGAGCTTTGCTCTTCATTGCTGCAATTTCATCTTTGATTCATTACTTTGGACAGTAGAGGTCATATTTCGAGAAGTCATTAGTTTGACGAACTTTCAATCATTTCGCTGCAGAGTAGACCTTCAATGTCCAATGCTTTTTGAAAAATCTGTCCTTTTGAACTTTCAACAGTTCATTAGTCTCCGAAAGAGACCGTTCAGTTCCATTTCAGCGAATGATTGAGAAAAAGGTGTTCCTGTATTTTCTAGAACAGGTAGAAAACCGCCCTCGTAGCTGTACTTTACGGACACTTTACCATTCTATCAGCTTTTGTTATCGAAGGCTTGACGTCTTCCTATGACTCAGCACCAGCACCCCTAATGAGTAATCACAAAGAGGGCAAAGAAGAAAGCACTCGAAGTAAAATCGGTAAAGGCTCCGGGCGTTGATCAATCCCGTCTGAGGGATGCGCCCTGCATTCTACTTCCATTCAGAATCGTAGTGGCGTATTGAAAGCGTATGTGGCCTATACAATGGCTTGCAGTAGCCCGTCGATGTACGATTCAGCGCTTTTATCCTCCTAGGCGAAACTGGTACCTATTAACCGAGATCGGGAGGATGGGAGGCTTGATTGGCCTGAGTGGATGTCGATGTGGGATTAGAACCCGTGACCATGCCCGTGTGGGGGAATGGTGATATAGATGGAGAATAAACATTTCTCCAAAAGGATCTAGAGTACTGTGAGTCGCCTTAGCTCCATAAATGCCCCCAAATGAGTCTTTTTATAAAATTTGTGGCATTTCCAAAATAAAAGACTAATTATTGTTGGAAATCATGTTGGCTTTTCCGAAGTGAATATTATTTTTGTAAACTAACAATTGTTTTGGTAGGTCCTGTCGAGAACGTCCGTCGATTGGTACTTCTACATCCAGAAGATGATCCTCTCATTTTCACAGAAATGATGACACTGGATCATAATAGTGGTGATAAACCTATGTGGAAACAAAGTGGACGGTAGGCCTTTGTTTTAAAATTACCTGGAATTGTGTTCAAATGGTTCGAAAAAGTTTAGTATATCTTTAAATAACACATAAAATCCTGTGTCGTCCTCAATTATATATGATCAAAGTACGTTTAATAAAAACTTTGTTATCAAACGTCATTAATGAAAAACATGGTCTTGTGGTCTTCCTCTGACTAAAATCTTAGCTGAAAACGAGTTTTTGAAATCATATGCGGTAACGTCGTGCGAAATAATAATCAATCAAATTGTTACGTCCATCCATTTCGTTCTTCAAAAGTTCTGATTTAACAATACAATTCCCCAAAAGGTAGCAATTTCCAATTAATTTTAAATGATATCGATCAAAAGGTAAACGACTCTCGTCCTGATTTGGGGCTACTGTATTTCAAATGCTTACAAGGTCACGAAATCAAGCAGGAAATTGGAAGTAAGAAGGGTTAGCTCTCTAGGATTGAGATGTGCACGCAAAGAATTTCGGGTATGGTGATGCAGGTGAGAAAGGATTGTAATCCAATTAGGAATTGTCAACAGTCATAATTCGATCACCGCTGTTTATCACCTACTTGATACCTTTTAGGGCTCTTTGTACCTTTCTCACCAACTTTCCAGATACCCAATCATGAATGGAATTGGGCGGAGAACAGATTCAAACTCGTCTAAGGTTGGGTGTGTCATTGAATAACACATTCAGACCAGATACCCCTTTTTGCTAAGATCTCCCTTCCTCCTTACTCTTTGCATTACCCTTCTGCCTTGGCGATGTTGAAGCCTTCCAACGTCAGTACCACAAAAAATGGAAGCAGGAGCTCTGCAGCCTATAGCAAAGGTGTTGAATAAACGTGGGGGGAAGGGGAGTAGTATGGCAACAGAAAAAGGCTAGGTGTTTCCCCGCTTTGTGCCAAACTCTTATAGCGTGTAACTTCACTTTCCAAACCTTACAATTTTTAGGTGGATTAAGTATGAACAGGACGTCGAGGGAGCTTTTACTCGATTCAGCAAACCATTTGTTACAATGCTCCATATGCAGGTATCAAGACTTTCCTTACCTGATCTACTATGAAGGCAGTTTCCATCCTGAAAAATTTTCCTGAGCCATACTTGAGTTCGGGTACCGCTGAAGAAAATTAATTCAACCCCTCATTATGAACTCAATCGTACTGAATTCAGCCTCAGTTACATTTTAACTTTCAAGTAATCCAATTTCAAGCAGTAAGAAGAATTTTGGATTCTCGTGGTCGTACCGTAACAGAGTACCGTAACCTGTCACGGAGTTCCCAGAATAGTATGTGGGAATTACTGTAGTCGGAATAATCTTTTCGCTTCAGAATGACTAAGGAATTCTGAACATTGAAGAATTTAACCGGAATATTCTGAAAAAACTCCCCTCACGAGACATTTAAAGATTTTTTTGGTAAATTAACAGTTTATAGCATTTTTTCAAGACTTTCTCTTGATAGTTTCTGCTGATTCATAAGTATTCAAAAGGGCATTCTAACAGAATATAGAAAATTGTAGTCGTTAGTTACGATTCAAGGAAATTGCCTTTAACACCTCAATGTGAATGCCGTAAAATCTACAATTTAGTATTGTAGGGTTTAATGCAAGCAAAAAATTGCCTGAAAAAAGGAGTTGTACTACTGGATGTTGCAGAAATTGCATTCGAGGACATTGCCAGTAAGTGTAACCAGGGCAACTTTCAGTTACTCGATTTCCCTGTGAAGGTATGTGTTTCAGGAGCTGTCGTCAAAGAATGGGGCCAGCGAGGTCTCGTGAACAGCGTTGTAGCCGATATAGTACTACAAACAATTCTGTCACCTAAACATCATCTTGGAACCATTCCAGGAGAGAACTACTTCGGTTAGTAACATCAGATAAGGACGTGGTATGGGTGCCTCGATGCTACCCGCTGACCTACCCCCGAAGGCCCAGTGTGTTCGACTTATTGCCTGTTCGATCGCAATTTCAGTTGAAAAGTGACTTCGCACTTTAAGAGACAAAAGTATGGGGGAACAAATTCTTGGTTTCACTTGGAAAAGGCAAAAGCTAAGCTCCTAAATGGTAGTTATCCCCTCTGTGGGATGCGCCCCGTATTCGACCAACCATAGTTTCGGCCTATACGGTAGCTAACTTCCTGTCAATTCCTTCAGCTTCCCAGGCAGGTCCGGTAGCACGTAGCCGACCACACAAGGAGGAAATGCTTGGTTAACCTGAAAGAGTAACCATCTCGGATTTGATCCCTGAACCATGCGTATGGGATAGTGCCCCACTTGCTGCTACACCATTACTCAAACCCTTGATCTCAATTGGAAGTGACCATCACAACAAAAAATCTATTAAACAATTTAAATGAAAACCAAATTCCCGGCAATGACTACACAAAAAATGTATGGTGACAGTAAAAGAAACTTGCAGGCAAGTCTGCCGGTCATGTACGGCTTGTTCCTGACGAAAATGGCGGAGCAAAGTACGCTGAGAATGAGGACGAAGAGGAAAGCGATGATCAGGATCTCCTTCATCATCCCCAACCAATCCGAGACGTCATCAAGGTGAAAAATCAGATGAATTCCATTTTTAAGGATTGCTCTGGGGAAAAAATAGTTTTTCAAGTAAAGACATTTGAAAAGATGAAGCCGCACTTACTCCAATTACTAATTACACATGAGCTAGGATAAAGATTACAGAGGGTCTCTCGTACAAAACGCCCACACACAATTTCCTTGTTTTCAGAAGCTCTACCCCATTCTCCCAGACCTACCAGTACCGGTACGATTCATCTTCCTTTTGCTCAGTCCATCTGAAAACTATCATAATGAAAGAATGTCTATTGCACGTACTATTGGCTCACTTATAGCCGACGAGGTAAGCTCTTTTACTTGATGCTGTATTTTTCCTGGAATTTTTAATTTTTAAATTTTTGATTTTGAAACCCCTTTCTACTTGTTCTGATCATTTTAGTTTTTTCCTGTCGAGCCCTTGTTTTGTCCTAGAATTTCCTCCCGACAACTCAAATTATTGGAAATCTCGAAGTAACCGTCAACCTTCGCCCTAACGTTAAGTTATTATTACTGGTACCTGGTACCTTCTCCCACTCCCCTAGTCAACGGTGCTCGCGATTCAGTGACTCATCTTGGTGTGCCAAGAACACCAACATGTAAACAACCAAGTAAATAAATGAATAAACAATAACTTTTTGAGTGCAAGCCAACTGTTTTGAAGGCCTCGGTTTTTGAGTGCAGCTTGTCGTTGTCTAACTTCTACTTCAGAAACAATAACTACCGTAATCCTTGTGTGTTCAACGATTTTCTTCAGATATTCCGTAAAGTGGCCTTGCACACCCAAGAGCAACACACACTTGCCGATGCCGCAGACGAATTCATCTCCCAGATTGTTGCTGTCCCACCAGGAAAATGTTCCGCAGATACACGATGGGAACCTAGAGAGACTGAGAGTAAGGTAAGTATATTGTGATACTATGAGCGTTTTCCCGAGTACTCAGTGAATCAGGAGGTGATGTGTGGCTCGATTCCCAGTAAAACTGGTTCGAAGCCCCATTAGGCGAATAGAATGAAGTGGGAACATATCCATCTTCTTTCCCTTCATGGGTAGATTCCATTCTGTGACATTTTTCCAGAGGAGAACAGGCTAGCCGGAAAAGCTTGTGTAGCTAAGACCGTTTCTAACTACTACATTGCTGATGTTTTCCACCCACACACCCCCTCAGAATGCACTTTCAGAAGCACATTTCCCACTACATACACCTGCTAATGCAGGCGAACGATTGCTTAGGAAGTATGGGGTCAGTAATGAGTTCCTGAATTGTTTCTAGCAAAATGTCCTTGCGAGTGACTCACAGGCAAAGGTTGCTGGGTGTCCATACATGTATGAGTGGGTAGAAGCAGAGGGAAACTTGCCGTAAAAAGTAACCCAACTAATTTCGAACTGCTCTGGAACCGCTTTCCATACCTTTAGCAGCTTTTTTCTCGCTCTCAACCTCCTTCTTGAGATGTGCTTCGGATTCCCGTGGACTTCATCCGGGATCCTGAATCACTTGCTTTCAGCAGACACGCTCAGTTGGGATGTTGTATGCAACCTATCATGACGATGATGAAGAACAAGGTGATCAAGCAGAGAATAATGGGCATGGCAGCATTGTGAGGACGGGAAGACTCTTCGGAGGGCTGGTACAGGACGTGAAGTAAGAACCACTTGATAGTCGTTACTGTAGTAGACAGCTGGGTAAGACGGTTCAGGTGGCGTTGCCGCAGAAGAACTTCACCCTCGGCTAGCTAATCCATCCCTATTATCCTGATTTTCAGGGCTAAAGCTCCATGGTACTTGTCAGACTATACTGATTTCTTTGCTGGACGAATGTCACAATCTGTTGCCGCCACGATTTTCCTATTCTTTGCCAATATCACTTCCATCATTACCTTTGGTGCAGTAATGGAACGTACTCTGCACCATCAGATGGTAAGTTTTACTGGAAAAGGTTCCTGAGTTTTCTGGTCCCAAAGCGTATTTTCTTCAGGCCTCGATGGAAGCAATTGTGAGTGGCGGAGTGTCGGGNCCGCCACGATTTTCCTATTCTTTGCCAATATCACTTCCATCATTACCTTTGGTGCAGTAATGGAACGTACTCTGCACCATCAGATGGTGAGTTCGACTGAAAAAGACTACGGTAGATGATTTTCTGAGATCTTTGGTCCCAAAAGGTATTTTTCAAGGCCTCGATGGAAGCAATTGTGAGTGGCGGAGTGTCGGGTGTGATTTTTGGTGCCTTTTCTGGTCAACCACTAAATATTCTTTCGGCAACGGGTCCGACATTGGTCTTCGAAAAGATTCTCTTCGATTTTAGCGTGTGAGCTTTTTCGTCGTTAAAAATCTTTCTCAAGAACTGTTTGTTACCATCTTTCTGCTATTGATTGTTTACTTTTCTTCATACTTGTTTACCATTTCGGTGAAGGTGACTTTCGAAAGAAGAGCGAATTTTTCGCGCGCAATAGCGAATAAATCGCGCGGCGAATATCACAGCTGTGGCTGTATGACTCTTTCTACTCAGTAATGTGTAGTCTGATGAATTAGTTCCCATTAAGAACGCTGCTATTACTATGAAGTACATTCCGTGCATAACTTTTAGTGTTTTCGTGTAATTCATGATTGATTCAATTTAATTTTTACAATTTCCCATTTTAATCATTTTCAATATGACGTTTTTTGCTGTTCAATTATTCAAAGGGAATTACGGGGCACTACAATGGAAAGTATCAAGGGAATTACAAAAAGGAAAAAGTGAGAAGGGCGACAGTAAGCAATTACTTGAAAGTACTACAGTTTACGATAAACATGGCTTATGACATACCCTGTTAGGATAGTTCTGAGGCCCCCTCGCATACCATACGTGGCGCTGTCAGGACGAAAAAGGCCTAGAGGCTTATAAGGGCTCAAAGATTGTCCCGTGTGTATGCGCGGACGAGTTTCAACGCTGCAATACTAAACCAGTTTTCGTCTGATGTAGTCAGCTCTTTGCGAAAACCGCAATCTCGTCCGAATACCCTCCAATGTTACTTCCGCCATGTTATTCTCGTCCAAAATCTATTTCGTCCTTTTTGAGGGGCCGTATTTTTCTCGAAATCGGCGAGTTTTCTCGCTAACTTCACCACCGATGCTCCATTCCCAACCAACACTTCGGCTTTTCGACTTGAAAAGGGCACCTCAAAATTATCGGGGGTTGTGCCTATAACTTGCGCTCATGAGAAATCTACAGTCAGATTTGTTGGGAACAAACGTTTTACTGCTATGATCATAATTTATCTTAATGTATCATTACATATGTTCTGGTATCATTGAGGTCAATGTCTCTGTTTATACCTGCACAGATAGGAAGCGTTAGAATTGAAAACTCTCCAGCTAGCCACTTACATTGTAGGCTGTATCTTCGGTTATTGCTTACTGGTTCTTCAAGTAATGTTTCAGAGGCAATGGATGGGAATTTCTACCGTTTCGGTGTTGGGTCGGAATATGGATAGCCTTTTTCTTGATTGTTTTGACAGCCACTGATATGTCAGCATTAGTTGGACTTATATCCAGGTGAATGCTTCAATCATTTTTATAAGCAGAAGTGTGAGGTAGACTGGCATGTTGTGAGGGCCTTTGAGCTTTACTTGTCCAACTTAGTCGGGCTTATTTTGTTCGGTGAGCTTACTACACTCTCTGGCCATCATTTTTCCCAGCTCGGCCGCTTACAACAAGATCCAGTTCCTACCGTAACCCTACTGATACTTCACAGTGCTACTAGTATGTAGTAGAAGGTCATCACATAGTGAATACTAGCCGCGTATAGGTAAAATAGAGCCTTATTAGGGTCACAGTAATAATTTGAGTAGCTTCTGGTTCTCGCAAAAAGTCTGCGGTGAAAAAAATATAGTCAGGGGACAGACTTTCTACCAAATATCCTAGGAGAATTCAGCCAGCCTTGTTTGGGGAGGCCAGGTCGCAACGAAAGGGGAAGTTCTAACGCTCTGCTGAGTGGGGACCCTCGCTATGTGCTATGTAGACATTCCCCATTAGGCGGCTGTTATTCTTAAACTGGTCCATTTTAACTATCTTTTCAAAATTCACAGCAAATTTTGGGCTGTTCTCGCAGGTTCCCTGGGTATTTAACCGAGGTCTTTTCAGGTTTACTGAAGAAGCCTTTGCTACATTGATATCCATCGTGTTCATCATTCAAGCATTCCAAAAACTACTCGAGATCTCACATGATGCACCAATTGTGGCCGATCCAAGGGTAGTTGAATTACTTTGAAATCACATAACCGCAACTGAACGAGTTCATGAAGGCGAATATGGAAAAGTCGATATCAAGGAAATCAAGTTTCTGGGGATCGTGAAAAAGCTCTAAACTAAGGGTTTTATAAGGGCTTGGGAACGAAGCCCCGAAAATTGAGGTTCCATCCACAAAATGATTGCTTTTCGTCAGAAANAAACACCCACTTTTTGGTTTGTCTTTGAGCAACGTAGGAGCTGATTGGGAGTAGATGATCGGTCATTGTGGCTACTGTAGTATCTTCGTTTAAAATCAAAGTTACTATTACTTTTTAAAAACTATTAACTTTAGGAGGTCTACGAATCACCATGCTTTTGTCATTTAAACGAAACAAACCCTTTGCACAACGTTACCGTCAGCTTACGACTAAAGGATATGGCTGCTGAAGGTGAGAATCACTATTTCTCCGTTTTTGGGGCATTCTAGTATTCCGAAGTATTCTATTCTCAATCGCCCAAACGTCCACTTTTGCATGGGATCCACTGGAATAGGGTTTAACGGGGTTCCAGTGGCAGATGACCGTACTGATTTCACTCTGATTGATTCACCTTGTGGTTTCCTGAAGCAGACAGGCATGAACCTTGGTGACGGCTCAAAGTCCCAAATGTCGAGATGGCGAAACGGTTGTGTAGGAATAGTTGCCCTAGGAATTTGCACTGTCAGCGATTCCCTTTGTATAGCCCTATGAGCGACGTATTCCAACAAGGGAAGCCTAAATCGTCCTAAATGAATAGTGGAACCAGTACCCTCCTAAAAAGTTTTGTTGTTCAGAGTGCGAAGCTCGAGGTGGTGAAGCCGTCGGGTTGCAATGTCATTTCAAGCCGGATGTTTACATGCTCTCAGTACTGCTCACATTTGGTACCTTTGCCTTGGCTTGGGGCCTTAATAACTTTCGACATTCGAGATTTTTCGGGTCTACGGTGAGTTCATGGACTAGTGTCATCCAATATTTGTCTTTCATGCAAAATCAGGGAACTTTTTGTTGCTTTCCTGGGATTCGATCCCTACTGCCTCCTTCCATGATTACTTAGGTGATTCCTACATTTTCAGTTCCGTAATGCCCTGAGCGACTTTGGTGTCGTCATTGCTATCGCTGTAATGACGATGTTCTCCCTGACGATAGGCCTGGATGTTCCAAGTCTTCATGTTCCACAGCAGTTCCGAGTAGGTTTCAACCATTTAAATGTTCTGGGAAAAAATTGAAAAAAACAAGTGGAGGGGGAAGTCATCAGTCATCTAGATGGGGGACTTTACTATTTATTACTTTCTTAATTTGAAATTTTTAGCCAACACTTGATCGCCCATGGATTGTTGACATCTCAAGTGTTCCTCTTGTTGTTGCTTTCATTGCGTGCCTTCCAGCTGCTTTTTATACTATTTTAATAGTAATGGATCAACAAATTACTGCTGTAATCATCAATCGCAAAGATAATATGTTGAGAGTGAGTTGATTTTTTTACACGAAAAATTGATTCAGTATGACTCAGTGAGGCTCCCGCTGCTTGGTTAAAACTGGGCCCAGGAGAGCCCAGTCGAGCAGATAATACGAACAGATAATCTGGAAATTATTCCCGGTTGCAAGGAGGCTGTGCTTGACTTAAGTAAGGTGATAAAGACGATGTGAGCAGTTCAAGACCCTTCGTCTAGATGGTCGAGGGTGTGCCGGGAGGTGAAGGTGCGAATTTTTCGCTTGCGGCGAGCGAACCTACTCATTTTCCGTGACTCCTGCTGCTCCTTACCATGACATTTCTCAGACCTTTCTTCCAAAGACCAAAATCAAATGATGTATGGCCAGCAGGTCAAGAATGGCTGGATTAGTTTTGACAGTATCCAAATCCGATGAAGTAGAGTCCTACCAGCAGGAAGACATACCTCTGAAAACCTTGAAGGGTTCTGATTCTCCCAAAGCGAGAGAGCGCGGGGAGCTGTGGGAGAGCCGGGTGAGTAAGTGAGTCAATCCGAAGAAACACCATGAAAAATTTCTTAGACCCGAAAAGCCAGGTGGGGGTTTGGGGCGCCCGGACATGAGAGAATACATTTTTAGGTATATTCCGATTTGATTTGATTTACTGATTTTAGCATAATGTTCAATTTTAGAAAGGAGAAGGCTACCATCTGGATCTGCTTTGCATTGCCGTTTTGGTACTTATTTGCTCTTTCCTGGGACTGCCATTCTACGTAGCCGCTACGGTACTATCTGTGATGCATGTGAATTCTCTTCGTGTTTATTCAGAATCATCGGCTCCAGGAGAAATTCCACGATTCCTCGGTGTAAAGTGGGTCATCTCCCATTCAAACATTACTTTTACCNTTAAGTGAACAACGCCTTACTGCAATATTTGCTCATAGTCTCATTGGCCTATCGGTGTTCCTTACTCGTGTGATCAAGGTAAGATTATTCGTCCTAGGGAATGGTTATCAGAGGTTTTTCAGCCTCTTACCTTCCAAATTACCTAGAGATCAAGTTTTTGGCTGTCTAAGCTAAGACTAGAGGAAAGTTCAAAAATAAAATCTAAATTTTGAATTCAAATATTTTCTTTGGGCGGTGTTGACTGAAGCTTTTTCAGCTTGTGCCTTTACCGGTGCTCATAGGAATCTTCCTTTATATGGGTGTTGTTTCACTTCTTGGTCAACAATTTGTACAAAGAATCGCTTTGTTATTCACTTCTGTTAAACATCAGGTACTTACTTTTTCAGCCTCTTAGCTTCCAAATTACCTAGAGATCAACTTTTTTAGCTGTCTAGGCTAAGTCTAGAGGGAAAGTTCAAAAATAAAATCAAAGTTTTGAATTCAGATATTTTCTTTGGGCAGTGCTGACTGAAGCTTTTTCAGCTTGTGCCTTTACCGGTGCTCATAGGAATCTTCCTTTATATGGGTGTTGTTTCACTTCTTGGTCAACAATTTGTACAAAGAATCGCTTTGTTATTCACTTCTGTTAAACATCAGGTACTTACTTACCTTTTCTTACTCAAGTGATGAATCGGCTAAACAGTCGAGGTGTGCTTGCGCTTCAGAGGCCGTATCACTGCCAGAAAACCAATCTTTTGATAAAGTCTTAGGAGTCTATCTATATCTATCTATCCGGTTTATAAGAGCCTTTAAGTTGACCGTCTATGGGATTCCCGTTTTGGAATGGTACAATGAGTTGCGTGGGCCAACCTATGACAAGACAGTGCTTTTATCCTCCCAGACGAGTCCAGGGCCCTTTAATTTGCCTCGAAGGGATTCGTTTGACTTAGGCGAATAGCAACTTGGGATCCAATCTCCGGACCATGTGGAAGTTACTGGGAACTGTTTGCCATTACCCCTGCAGACTGGGAGCTGTTTGCATTATCCCTGGAAACTGAATCTCCGTCAAAAGTGCTATAACCTGAAGATGTATCGACTTCTGCTTCGTACAGCTTTAGCTCCCCCCGAACCTACTTTACCTTTCCGCTCTAGCTGTTTCCCATCTAATCCGTCTCAATTATAGTTCTATTTATAGACCTCATATGTATAATCTACTGATTTTGTAGCCTGACTACTCATGGTTACGATCGGTAAGGATGCGCCGTGTACATCTCTTCACGATCATACAACTATTATCAATTGGAGCACTATTTCTGATCAAACACACAAAGACTATATCAATGATCTTTCCGCTAATGGTAAGTCCATTTCACAGTTGATAATTCACGAAGTGAAGGAAGGTTTTAGAAACGGTCAGTTTCCTCAAAATAGGGGTCGTCTTTCATTTCCCATGGGATTACAGAGATATTTGAAGGCCCATTGTGCAGCTCCCTAGTCGGGAATTGAATGATTAAAGTTAATGACGTGTGATTATTTTGACAATGAAATCTGCAAACAAAATGAAGGAACAAAGGCAGCTGAATAGAAGGGCGACATGGGAAGTTCAAGTGCAGCCGAACTTGTTGGGCCCGAAACAACCCTCGCACCAATTTCATTCCGTTGCTGCCTGAGTAAACAATGAAACAAAATAAATAAAAATAAATGAATGTCAACAATAACGAACAATACAACGATTAATGCAGGTCTGAGTGTTTCTCTACTGCCCAGATGTATTGAGCGCTGAATAGTCAAACGAAGTTATGCTAAGGCTAGATAGGGTCACACCAACAGTTCACAGAAAAGCTTCCCCAGCTGCGACTATGATGGCGTACAGTAATTCCCACCTTGAACGGAGTTTGTGGAATTCTATAGGCCACTTTAACTGATGCTTACCTAATTTGGAGCCCCGTGTTGACGCCGCCTCTCCCAGCGGATAACACATTTCTCAAGTTTCCCAGATGGATATACTGGACAGAAACAGATTGATGACGTTCTGTAAAGGAAATTTCATGTATTTGTTTTCAGTTAGTCTTTATGGTCATGATACGAATGTTCATTCTGGAAAGAATATTTACTCGATCAGAAATGGCTTCACTTGATGATTTACTGCCCACCTTCAAACAGGTAGTCATGCCGAAATCGGCAAGGTACGTTTATACTTCCCCGTAAGGTTTACACCCATCTAACTCCTTTCATTAAATTTAACGTTTCGAATGATTCAAACCGAAAAAACATCCTACAGGAAGAAGTCGCTTCACCGTAAAGTCCCGTATAACTCCTTTCCGATGACGGTAACCGGCCTCTTATAAGTCAAAGTCGTTTACTGCTCCCTGGGTAGCTCAGCGTTTCTTGGAGAGCTTTATTCTCTTTTCTGATAGATTTAGTATAGAAACATATCAAATTACGTGGCTTTCTAAGAAAGTAATCCCCTGACGAGTCAGTCAAGAATCGAAGCGTATTCCATAGCCATAGCAAGAAAGTTATAAATATTAAACAAGATACCGTGGAAATTCCGCAAAAATCATGGGCGGCTTACTATAATTTGGATAGGTGGCAGTACGGTAGTTTTTTTGGACACCTTTTAAAATATAAAAGTACGTGTTGTCTTTTTGTTGTATTTTTGGGATTCTTGAAAATACTAATCGTTGTTTTCTCCGCAGATTTCAAATGTCTAGGCTTTTTTGAAAGCGAAACATCGGGTGCATTACTCTTCCTGTCAATTTTCTCATTTCAGGCAACAGCAGAGGGAAATGAAGGAACTGATTGAACACAAGCCACAGATTTGATATGATGAATAGATTTAATATGTATAAAGAATTATATTATTTATTGTTTCGTTTGTTAAGCATTTTTACTGGAGAAAAAAAGAAATTTTATTAGTTTTGTAAGCTGCACAACAGTTGTTGTTTCTTCAAAAGGCATTGGATTTGTAAACGGAAGTGCAGATGGGCTTTCTCTCACGGTGACGGGAACGGTGGTACCTGAAGCGGCAGTGACTTCACGATAGTAGCCTATCCTACCTTCAGAAATTCAAATCCTCCGACACCATCCGTTCGGATGTGGCAAGGGTGAATCGCAGCTTGCTCAGAAGATCCCATATCCTAGAGACAGTGTAGGGATAGGAATCCCGATCCACACACAGCTCGAGGCAAATTTGAATTAGTTGTTTCGCTGCATCCTATTTGGGACTTTTCACCGTTACGCGTGGGAAATTTTCAATAGCCATATGAAATGCATTACCAAAATCAAGAGGTTTTCGAAAGAATTAGGGTTTACTTCAGTATTATTTTTATTTTGGGAATTCTAAGAAACAGACTTTTTTCAGGTTTCGATCTTCCCCAGTTAGGAGAGGCTAGCCGAATTGTTTCACAGTATTCAGCCATTATTCCGCGAAATGTGTTTTCTATTTGCACAGGCTTATACATATGTATAATAATGAAGCGTCGTTGATGCCTTGCCAAGCATCTTGCGTGTTTGGGAAGCATGTCGTGATTAGAATCCCAAAAGTTCCCCGAATCCATCGCTTTAAGTACTTACGAAATTCAGAAAGAACTGACTAATATGCGATAAACGTGCCATTCGTTCTGACAAAACACCTCGATTACATTGGAACGACAAGAATCTGGGAGAAGTGAGATGTTTAGACAGCAGTGTATCATGGATTCTGACATACATATTCTATGCTACAGAATAAGAACAGGTGCACACTCCATTGTCCAGCTGCCATCCAGCATAAGTGGTGTTTCCTGGAGAATGCCGCCTGGATGACTGAGATCGAGGTTGGAAAAAAACCCAAACTGATTTTTTTCGATGTACAACTACGTGTCCCATAAGGCAACCTTTGAATCACTTGAACTCAGGATGAACCTTGGAAAAGCAAACATTTGATAAAGGTGAAACGCCATAGGGTGCTTTCGGTATTTGGTGTTTCTTATGTAGACCCAAGATAAACCTCATCAGAAACTCACACACCCCGAGGACTTTGAATCGGAGTAATTCCAGTTTTCCTTTCTCCGGTGATCAGACTTCTTCACGGAAGCTCCAAACGAAAAGAACGTTTCACCTCGTGTCCCTCGAGAGAGGACTATCCACTTTTCTGGCTGGCGACAGGGACGAATGGAAACGTTAGAGGCGCTCGCCCGAGGGAACCGATGGTAAGCGGGACGACAGGTGATACAGGTGAAGTCCAGTTTTATTCAGTGAGCTCATCTGGGTAGGTACGTTGATTGATGAAAAGAATAGAACTCCGTAACAACATACCCAAAATGAATCACCCTTATTGATTGTCTCTTTGTGAGATAATATTTAATGGTTTCACATATTATAAGCTATTCAGCTGACTAAATACTAATGTGGGAGACATTGTCTTCCCATAGATAGTCCCAGTAAACAAGCACTGTCTGGTTTGATATAAGAGCGTTGCCGGCGGCACAGATTGCAGCTCAGTCGGTTTGCTTTTCAGCTTTTCAGGATACTCTCCGTCGTCTTAGCTAGCTGCACTTGAGCTTGAGCTCTTGGATTTCTTCCACTTCTTCTTCACTATCATTTCAATAGCATCCTCAGAACGTGTTTCTTACGGTCATGATACAGGAGAACAATGTAGAAGGGCTAGGATGGGAGAAATGAGCCTGTTGATCAATCTGTGTGACTTATTTTCCGAAGGAATAAGCTGGCTGTAGACCGACGTCCAAGCCGGGAAGTGGGGTTTTTTGCTAGACCTTTGGAGAAGCTTGATGCATGGGTGACTGGGGTGTGAAACAGACTCCCTTTTGCTTCGAAAGAATTTCATTTTCCAATCCAGCTCGAAGGCTGATCCTGAACGAAAAAAAACCAAAGAACGAAAGAGCTCCAAACTTCCTCATTCTTTGAGAACAAGAGAGACCCCTGTTCCTCATTCTTTGAGAACAAGAGAGACCCCTGGAATGGGGTAGACCTTGAAGATTTGTGGGGCTCAAGTTGGCTAATGCGAAAGTAGTACCACTTGCAGCTGATCGCCATCTCTTTGTTCATACCGCTCAACTCCGCCATGGTGAGCCAATATTTAGACACCGAAAAAAGGGCCTTTTGATCATTGAAAGCACGAATGAAATCACTTATTGATCAAATAAGCAGGTTTTCAGATGAATTTACCAATTCTCTTACTGCTTGCAGTGTCGGTTGCCGCACTCCCGTTCTCCAGACAGGTCAGTTTAGATCCTTTCATGAGCTACTCTTAAAGGCGACACTTTGGATATAAAACGCCTTTTCACAATAGAATTTAGCCCGGTGTTCAATCACTAAGATAGGTAGAACTTTAGAAAAAAAAACAGGAGGAAGAGTCGCAAGTTCAACTCTTATCGGTAATCATACTGTCGCATGAAAGTATGATTGTCCCATACAGAAGTTCGGTGTACCTCTCAGCCTTTTTGCTTCCTGAGACGAGTTTTGCATCACTCACAGAGACGGAAAGGTCGTTGAGTAAACGGATTGGGGAAATTCTGCCCAAACTCGGATCACTTATAGCGCTTCCTATCACTGTCCCAACCCAGGCCCTAGAAATCGTGCTGTAGGGGGAAAGGATGTGTCCGAGTCAACTATGTATCAAACAGATTGCTGATTTCCCAAATGAGTTGCTACTGTTATACCCTAGTTATTCAAAGGAAACATCAAACAACAACAACTAAGACTATTCAGGGAATAGTGGGTGCCCACTATGAGAAATTTATCTCCGCATTTCAGAAACGTGAAGATGATTCAGCAACCGCTACTACTCCTTCAACTACCATAACCTCCTCGACATCTGACTCTACAACAACACCAACAACCACTCCTACAACAACTCCCACGACTACGCCTACAACAACTCCCACGACTACGCCTACAACAACAAGTGCGACTTCAACAGAACCATCTACTCCGCCACCACCGCCACCACCACCACCACCAATGCCAGGATTTGGCCCTGGTGGTTTGCCACCATTTGGACCAATGAGACCATGGGGCGGACCGATGGGACCATGGGGCGGACCGATGAGACCAGGGCGAGGCCCAATGGGCCCAAGGGGTGGACCGATGGGACCAGGAGGTGGACCGATGGGACCACAAGGTGGACCGATGGGACCAGGAGGTGGTCCGATGGGACCAGGAGGTGGACCGATGGGACCAGGGCGTGGCCCAATGGGCCCAAGGGGTGGACCGATGGGACCAGGGGGTGGACCGATGGGACCAAGGGGTGGACCGATGGGACCAGGGGGTGGACCGATGGGACCAAGAGGCGGACCAATGGAACCATGGGGTGGACCGATGGGACCAGGGGGTGGACCGATGGGACCAATGGACGGACCTATGAGACCATGGGGTAGACCCTTCGAACCCATGGGATTTTAGTTTTGACCACGGTGATTAGTTGCCATGGGATCAGCAGAGGTTGCTTTCTCGAGCGTCATCTTTATGAATTTCTCTGCTGTACGATGAAATAAATATAAACAGTTTGTCTTAAAAGAATGTTTGGCAAGGTTCCCAAGAAGAGTAATTAGTGATCAGTGGTACTATTGTAATAACGAAGGCATAGGTAGCACTTAGATGTCAGAGTTCTCACCGAAGGTTCTGATTCCACTATAGACATATCTGTCCACTTTCCGTCAGCCTAGATGTAGTGAGCTTTCGCTCCTGGGGCTTATTCTTAAAAGGCTTCAATTCCAACCCATTCAGGCTCTATTACTTTTGGGATCGTGACATTTCGAAGTTCACCAAGGCACTATATTGTAAACTCCATCAAGTAACAATTCCAGTTGTAGACTGAGAATAGTTGCGAAAACCAAGTGTACTACAGAGAGTTGGCCACATATGTACGTCAATATATAGGATTCAGTAATGTCATTTACCTTCCAGATGTTCCAAAACTAGAAATGGCCTCTATGACAAGATGCTAAGTTCCCAGGATACTACTTGAAGCTTCATTGAAGAGATTAGGAGGCAGAAACGAAGACATTGGCCATCTTTGGCCGATCTCACTCTTTCCTTTCAATAATGGAATAGAATTATGCAAAAAGCAGGGGTTCAATGAAGATAAGCTATTTCGCTTATAAATATATGGATAATCTACGAATATTACTTAACCAGGCCAAACCAATTTGTTTTGACTTGATGTTTTGTTACAAGCAGTTTTAACGCCGCAATGCGAGGACGAGAGGGGTCTCGGTAGTGTAAGGGATGGAGCACGGTGCCTAGAAACCACGAGTACGAGCTCGAGTCCCGTCCGAGACTGAGGTTTTGTCCGTTAAACGCCAATCTTGTGAATCAGATATATAAGATAAAACAGTTCCCTTTGATATGTAGAAATAACTCGAGCTCAAAAGCACATTCAGTTGAGAGAAATAGCAAATGTTTAGGCTTGAATAGTGGCATAATAAGTGGTAGAATAAGTGGTAAACTATGTAATAAAACTGATGACTTTCTTAGCTTCAATGTAATCAGATTTCCTCATAGCGATACTAATATTTCTGTTACCAATAAAGCTTCATTTATATACACAAAAACATTGAGAATTGCCAACACTTGTTCTACGATTAAAGCCTTTAGCACAAGGATAACGAAAATGATGGTCATTCTCATGAGAAATGGGTATGAAGAGGAATTCATTATTACTGGTTCTTTAAATAGTAATTATTATTCGTAGTACAACTTAAATTCCAATTTTGTACTTTGTTTGATTGTATTGAGCGGTGCATTTATCCATTCCTATGTCCTCTAACCCAAAACCACTGATGAGCCTCAAGAGAAGGTGAGAGTGGTGGTTCGTCTGGTGAATAGACGAAACGAGCCATCTTTTACTTTATCTCAATTATTACCTGTTTGTTACTGTTTTCATATTGTTTAGTAAACTCCACTGATTCTAAATTGTTATATTTACTTTAATTATTGAGATAAAGTTCCTGCTAGGCTTCAGGGTGAGGGGTACATGACTGAATTATGGTTCTTTCCCAAAAAAAACTTGAATGGTTAATCTCTGGTAAACTTAATGGAGCAGACTAGAATAGAAACCACCAAACATTGAAAATCAAAGAGCCCTTTTGAAAAACATGAATCTGTGATCTGCATGGGAGTAGTAGAATCTTCCCAAGCGATACCCAACCACTGACTGGAGAAGCATTCCTTCAAATTCAATCAAAAATAGCAGAGAAGACACGAAATTGCTCAGCGTCAACAGTATACTGTTAGCTCTAACGCTCCAATAGTCGAAGAGTCCGTGTAATGGATACCTCTTTCCTGGGCATGGGTACATACTTGCGTCCGAAGATGCGCGCGGCAACTTGCGCGGCGAAGTTCGTGAAGATTTGTAGGACTCTGAGGCCAATTTTCGGGGCACAAACTCGAAGTAGAACAGTTTAGTAGGG